ATCTGGCTCATGTCGCACATGCCACGGCTGACGGGCCATGCGTTGGGCGTGGCCATGATAACGTGGTGGAATCAACAGCGGTGAGTCGCATGCGCAACATCGCACACGGCGCTGCAGCAGTGAGCCTTGTCACCCCAGCACAGGAGCGGCTGTCGCGCAACGCGACTCGCAGCCTGCTGCACTCGAAACCAGCAGTCAAGTTGACTTGCACATGGTGGGGCAAAAAATATCTTATCAAAGAAACCAACATTTAATCAGCTTACCGCCTCATACCGACCTTGCAGCAAGATCATACGACTGGCTTAGACTGACACCCGAGAAGCTCGCGTCTGCGTTGGCAACGCGTTCCGGAAGGCATCGTTCCAACGATCTCGGTGCTTTGCAAGAGTCGGCGGTCGACTTTGCAGAGCCAGCTGCGTGTGTTGGCGGCAAAGCGGGCGGCAGCAGCGTACAGCAGTGCTCGAGCAGCGCGCAGCGGCAGGAGGTGCAGGTCCAGCAGCATGCACCCTCCGCTCATCATAGACAAGCATCCCATCTGTGCTGAGGTGCGCGGAAGGCTTCGCCACAGCTGTCACGCACTGCAGCTGCCCTTCAACGCGCGGCGGCCAGCGGCAGCAGCGGACGCACCACCCCTCAACCCCGCGTCGCCCTGAAGTGCCCAGCGACAACCCCGGCCTGCCGCTGCCCTGCCTGTTACGCGCTACCAGTTCATTGAGGCGCTGACGCGATGCCACAAGGAACACAGCGTGGCCAAGTGGTGGGGCGCCTGCAACGACCCAAAGTTTGAGTTGACAAAGTGCCTTGACCGGGAAAAGAAGGAGCTCAGGTGAGGCCAGGCATGTGCCGCGGCTGGCCACAACGGTATTCAACAAAATTCAGCATGTTGAATTTTCCATGGTTTCAGGGGTTTCAGGGCAGGGTTGGAGAGGGTGTGTGCGTGTGTGCGTGCATGCACGCATGCATACGCGCGCGTGTGCAACTTTTTGATTTGATAGACGCACGCGCGTGAACAGAGAGAGAGAGCGCGCGCGCGTGTGTGTGTGTGTGTGTGTGTGTGTGTGTGTGTGTGTGTGTGTGTGTATGTGTGTGTGCCAGTGTGCGCGCGTCTGTGCGCGTCTGCACGCATGCGCATGTCTGTGCAGGGGAGGGAGGGCTCGCGCCGAACAAGCAAAGGCCCCCTGGGAGCCAACAGAGCCGTGCGAAGTTACAATCACACCTTGCCCGGCGCTTATGAGCCACCTTCCTGCATTCGACAATGTTTTGGAGCAGGGCGGCGCGCCAGGAGAAGGCCAAGGCGGAGTTTCGTGAGAAGCAGGAGCGGAGCCGTCAGGAGCGCGAGAAGCGGGCGCAGCAGGAGCAGCAGCAGCAGCCGCAGCAGCCGCCAACACCGCCGCAGCAGCAGCCCAGACAGCAGGAGCAACCACAGAGTCAACAACAGCAGCAACAGCAGCAGCAGCAGCAGCGGCAGCAGCAGCAGCAGCAGCAGCAGCAGGCGGCTCAGAGGCAGCCACCGCTGCAGGACGCCAGGATGCAGTTGCTGGAGCGAGCCGAGGCCGCAACCGCCTGCTTCGCCCTTTTCTTCAACACATGATGCAGTAGCTGCTTGCCCTTGGCATTGTCTCGGCCTGCTTGTCGATTGTGGTTTTTAGCTATTGTAAGTGCCCCATTTTTTGGATGTCAGGGTGGCGTGAGGAAGGAAGGTCACGTGGTCACGCTCAGGCAGTGATGGCAGGCAGAAAATTACGACAAAGGACAGCATCAACCCTTTAGCAAATACGGGGACGAGGGGGATACGAGCAACCCGATGCGGAGGGGGGCGCTGGCTCAGGCAGTGCCAGGGGCGCAGCCGCCCTTGAGCTTGCCGCTCAACTTTGAAGCTGCGACCAACTGCAATGCCCACCGGCTTGCGCATTTCAAGCACGCGGCCTGCGGCTGCAGCATGAGCAGACACCAAGACGCAATCACATTGCTCTGGTAGCAGCACGCGCGCTTCTCCAAACTGCTGCAGTGCTTCTAAAAGAATCTGTGCACACGAGGCTCGCCTCGGCCGATGACATCATCACCACCATCCTGCTACCCATAGCTCTCCCTTTCAGGAGGCAGAGCTAAGTCAACACCATTGACAATGGCGCAACATCGGTTACATGCCCGCATAGCTGCCGTCTGCGTGCCGTATGCGCTGCTTGAATACGAGCGATATCCGCGGGCCGGCGTCCCTCGCGCGCCGCTCCACTTTAATGCAGTGCTGCAGCCGCTCCTGCAGCAGGGACGAGTGGGGACGGTGTGGATGTGCGGCCGAGAGCAGACAACACATGGATTTCGCTGGACAGCACACGGGCAGGCGCTGGCGGGGTAAAACGCTCGCGCCACCCAAGCAGGGACGCGTGTCCGGGCTCGTATGTGCCACGCCCGGCTGTGTGTGTGCACGTGTGGCTGCTGGCGTCACAGAATGCCCGCAGCCCGGTGGATGAGATACATCAGATGATATTTGCACGAAGAGACAACCAATCAATCAGTTCAGCGCACCTGGCAGTCCCCAAACATCTCCACCACGTCGCCGTTCGACACTGGGTAGCTCCACCTGCAGGCGTGGTCGGCCGCGTCCCGGAACACAAACTGGCGCGTGGCGCCCAGGCTGACCACGGCGGTGTTGGGGGTCCAGGCGTCGTACTGGCAGGACGGGAAGGGGGCGCGGCGGTGGTGGGGAGGTCCGGGCAGCACGGGCGGGCGTGTTGGGGGAAAGGGGACACGCGAGGGGGTTGCTTGAGGTGGAGCGCGGCTTTGATGACAGCTGAGCGAATCGAGAAATCAAACAACAGGGTCCAACAGCCAAATGTTAATCGGCTCAGGCAATCTGCTTTGTATGCATCACTTCACCAAGGTTGCGACTGCCGGTTACGCCAGCAGTACTGATGACTCACCAGCGGGTCCACGTGGTACCTCATGCCGCACTTCCCGTCCTCATACAGGTTGACCAACACGCTGTCGTAGTGCTGCCCTGTCAGCAACAGCAGCCGGTCCCGCACCGCCGCCACGTGCGGCGTCAGGCCACCCGCCAGCGGGGCCATCTCTTTCCCAGAGTACTTGAATGTTGCTCCGATGTCGCTCTGCCATCCGGTGAGCCGCGCCTCCTGCGGCGTTGCAGCGGCAGGTGCGGGGCCTCGACGCCTGCCAGGGGCGTCGCGCCGTCGCACCCAGGCGTACCCAGGGGGGCTATGCAACCAGGCAACGGCTGTCGTGCCTCGCAGCCTGCGCCACCATAACAAATTCACGACGTGCTAAGCGCCGAGGCGCCGATGTCCAAAGCGTGTGCCCAGCACCGGCGCCCGTCGTCCCCCTTTAAAGCCCCCTTACCTCGACCGCGCGAGCGCCACCGTCTAGGTAGATGACGTCACGCCTCAGCGCCGGCCCGAGCTCCTCCAGGAAGTCGGGCAGCCGCAGGTCCTGCAGCGCGCAGGGCAGCACCCTGAAGGGCACCTGCATGGCTTCGCAAAACTCGGCCGACCAGTGGTCGCCGTGCTGCTGCTGCTGCTGCACCTGCTCCTCCTCCTGCTGCTGCTGCTGCTGCTGCTGCTGCTGCTGGTCGTCAACATGTTGGCCATACCTGGCGACGGCCGCCGCGGAAGCACCGTGGAGGGCAGAAAAACGGACGGCATCGAAATGCGACAGCCCCCACGCGACGTCCGCGAGCTGCTGCCTGCCAAACTCGACGGCGCCCCGCCGCAGCGCCGGCAGCAGCGCGGCTACGAGCGGCCGTGCGCGCGCCAGCTGCTCGGCCTGAAAGGGCCGCGACTGCGGCGCCCAGTGCAGGAGCAGGGCGGCCGCGGCGGCCGGGTCGAGAGCGAACAGCTCGGCTTCCAAGGGGGAGCCGCTGCTGCTGCTTGGGCTGTGATCAGCGCGCTGGTGCGCCGCGCAGCAGCGCTCCAGGGAATGCATGTGGGGCGGTACCTCATCCCAGCCCGGCGCTGCAGCTGGAGTCAAGGTGGGGGCAGGCGACTGGCCGCTTGGGAGCCTGGCCGGGGCGGCGCGGGCGGTCGGCCGCTGGGGCTGCGGGGGTTGCTGCTGCTGCGGCTGCTGCTGTTGGGGTTGCAGCTGCTGCTGGGGCGTATGCTGCTGCTGTGGTGGCTGTGGTTTCTGCTGCCTGGCCTCCTCCTTGGCCCTGCGATTGAATCAGAGTGGCCACGTCAGGCACAGGCGAGTGTGTTTTGCAACCCTCGCTTTAACCACTCTCTTTGATACAACGCACCTTTTCTTAGCTGCTAATCTCCTCTGCCGCGGCGACAGGCTGCTCGCGAGACCCACCACTGGGGTTGCAGCAGCATCGCTGGCCTGCGCTTGCGGCACCACGCGTGCTGCAGCTGCTGCGCGGAGACATGGTGCACCGACGGCTGACCATGGATTAGGCGGGTGCTGCCGGAAACACGTTCTAAATCGTGTGTTCATTTCCTCGTAAATGCGTGTGCAGTGCCGATGCTGCAAAAGAAAGCCGCAGATCAGAATGCAGTCAAGTTGGGCACATTTCGTACATGAAAGCTTTGTGAAGAAGAAGGATGGATGCGGGAGGAATTCATTGCTGCAATTGCTAAGGGGGGACTGATGCGTCGTGCCTGATGGCGCGCTGCGGCGACCATCTGAGCTGTCATCCACTGTTGGATGTCCAGAGCCCAGAAGTCCAACGCCCAAGTGGCATGGGCGGACCTGTATTATAAGCGGCTTCCCTATCACACCGTATGGATAAAATCCGTCGTAGCATGCACGCATGTATGGAATCAACTCCTTGATTGCAGCAGCAACTGCCACAGCTTCATGCAATCCAGGCACCGCCGAGTGCATCATGCGCAAGGCAGCTGTGCCGACGCAGTCACAAAACCTGCGTCTGGCATAACGCACAGCACGGCCAACATTTTTACTTCGACGATGTGATGGCGACAAGGCACTGAAGCTTCCCATCTGACTGGTCCATGGTGTGGCCTTGCCTGCAGTCGCCTTGCCTGGTCGGCAACCGGCAGCTCAGAAATGGAATTGTTACAACGAGCTGCCGCTGGGCATTCTTCATAGCACAACCCTGCACACCAGCACACGGCCTGTGGGCAGGTGCATCCCGCACGCTGGCGCGGCCCGTGAACGCCTGCGCCTTTGCATGAAACGTGAGCTCAGCACAACCAGCGCCCACACGCAGGCTGGCTTTGTGCTCCACTTGCGCCACACGCGGCGCAAAATTGGTGGTCAAAGTGATTGTTGACATGGCGTGCTGATCACGGCAGCAAGCCTGGAACCATCAAGAAAGAGAGCGTCGCCCTGGAGCCGTGGCAAGACCTGGGCATGTGGTGTGCTCCAAGCACGATGACCCATGCACGGGATTGCTGATGCGTCGCAAATTTGAGCAAGAGCCGCAGGTGCCGCAGCCCAGTTGTGCGTGCGCCATGAAAGGCCAGCGCCTGGGTCTTACCAGCAACGGCGCATGGAGGCCCAGCGGCTGCACGCTTTCTCTGCCAGCGCGCCGTCGCAGGCGTCATGGCGCTGCGACACGCAACCATTCCACCTCCAATCTGCAGCAGAGCACGGGCGACCGCGGCAGCCGTCGCCATGACGCCGCGACGCCTCGGCTGAGCGCTACGCCGTGTTGTCAGGTGCGCACCGCGTTGAGCCGCTCCTGCAGCGAGTCCATCTCGGGGTCGGCCGCCTCTGCAGCCGCCTCCTCGCGCGCCGCCTGCGGGACCTGGCGGGTGGCAGAGCGAGCAGCGGCGGGGGCACGCCTGAGGCGGGTGCTGCAATCGCGCCGCCACGATCTGTCCAGGATGCTGA